CGTAAGACCACAATCCGAACGCATGCGCCCTTCTGTGGCGCTTCCGGTCTATTGTCATTGGTCCGCGAGCGATGGGACCCTCATAAATAGCGACAACAGAGCCCACAGGATTGCGCACAATGACATTGCTTTCTGGCAGCGACGACGAGCTGGTGTGCCTGACCCTGGGGTTCATCTATCCGAACGAACTACGGAGCGTAGCGTGTGTGAATCGTAAGTTCCTTTGTTGCGCCAAGACCGCGATCCGAAATCGGGCGATCCAAAGGCTCGCATCCAAGGGACAGGGCGACATTAGCATCGGATTCTACGATGGCTACGGTTACGATCTCACCGAGGGCCTCAAACACTGGCGATCCTTTCGAGTGCCGATCGCGATCTGGATGAGAAAATCTGACGTCTGCACCATCAAACACATCGACTCGCAAATCAAGGTGGAAATCACCGCAGCCATCAACCGAATCGAGGTGAAATGGATAAAAGGACGAGCGATGCAGGCCACGGTCGTGCTTGACAACAAAAGATTGGTGCACGCGAATGAACGAACTCGGCTGATTTGGTAACCATGCGCCTTCCGGATGGCCGAGGAATAGCGTGGCCGATGATCAAGACGGCGGAGAACCTCGCCGAGATCATGGCGTGGCAGTCCTTCCTGTTTGATGCGTGCATCGAATCCGGTCTGCTGGTCTGTTGTGAAGAGAGCCAACGGTACTTGGCACCTACCATGATATCTATGGTATGATCCCACTCTGTGAGCACGACGCTTGCCTGAAATGCACACCCATCGCCGACCTACTGCCGGACGGCTCGGTCGTCGCGTGGCTCGACCTACGCCCGTGCAAACACAGCGACGCTTTGGAGGGTTACAGCAGCACGCTCAACAGATTCCGAGAGCACTTCATCGCATGTGGACTGTTAAAATAAGCGTGATTCAGCTGGCCGGGCTGTTGGAATGGGATGAGGCGAGACGAAAGGATGTTTTGGACGTGATCCTCAAAGGCATAAATGTATGAGCCACATTGTCCATTGTTTGCGTAACGTGGGCGGATCATTGCGCAGGACAGACGTCGGATACACGACGTATCTGCGCAAACGACTGCGCCAACACAACGGCGAGATTGCTGGTGGTGCCAAATCGACCAGAGGCGGACGGTGGGAGGTCATGTTTTGCGTGACCGGATTCCCGGTGAGAATCCGCCTTGTCGTGTGAGAAATGGTTTCATTTGCTCAAGACGCATGATTGCACTGCTGGCATCATCAAGGTGCTGTTGATGGACAGGTGGAAGTGCGCCAAGGGCGACATTGTGCCTGGCACCATGAAACTTGAACTGCATTGTGATCCAAATGATTTTGAACACTTGCCCAACTGTATTGTTATCATGCATGACCTCCTTGGAAAAATTGAGACAGACATAGTGACTAAAGGACACGTTGATCGCAAAGGGGGTCAAGATGCTGTGGTCTCCAAAAGCTTCCTACTGTAGGTTGCATTGCCCAGGATCTTGCCAGTGATTTCATCCTCCTTCTCAAGGCTCTTGTCGCCGCCAAAGAGAAGCACACAGTGTTGCGTGTGCTTCTTGAGAAAGACATTCTCAAAGTAGTCCTGGGCAGTGCTGAAGCTTCCACTTTTGTCAAAGCGTTTGAGGATGCCTCCCTTGTTGGCTTGATGTGGGTACTCCCTGAGCATGGCGTTGTGAAACGTTTGTTGGTACAGCTCGCATAGCTCCTGCTCCTCTCAATAGAGCTGCTAGTCAGTTTTTTTCTCTTTGGCGAGGAACAGCTCCAGGGTGCCTTCCATGCGCTGGTTGACGAAGGTGTCCTTGTCCTTGCTGAGCAGGTGTGCGGCTTCCACAGCCATCCAGTCGCCATGGACGGCCCGGTTGATCATGGCCTCGTCTTCAGGGTCAATCTCATCCTCAGGAACGATGACCATGAAGCCTGTGTCACCATCGTAGGTGATGAGGGTGACCAGGATGTACTTCCTCTTTTTGTTGTCCTTGGGTTTGATGTGGGCGCGCTTGTTCATGGTGTTGGGTTTGTTGTTGTTGTTGGTGGTGGTGGCGTTTTGTTTATATGTCTCCTCGCACCCACCAGCTGAGGTCACATGCACTCCACTTCAAGTT